ATATTTCCTTTCAATTCAATTTAAACTTAATTTCAATTGGTAAGTGTCCAACTTAGTAAATTAAGTTTTATTACACATCGGCAAATAAATTTAGAACCATTTTTAAACATTTAAAACAATAAATATAAACTAAGGCACGGCAAATGAAGTAATAACACAAATAATATACGTCAGAGTTATTATAAATGATCATAATGTCTTTACAATACAAAGTGACTATGAAAAAAATATATGACAACGGCTATAACGACAAAAATAGAGCAACGCAATAACCACGGGATTGCCCAAAACTTATGTATGAAAAGGGAGCTCAATTCATTCAGCTTTTAATATGAATGGACCCTAACAGTTTTATCAAGGGAGAACATTTCATCACAAAAACAAAGTTGAATAGTTCTGACGATAATGTGCCTTTAAACAATGAACGGGCACTTCAAATGGATTTTCTATACTAGTACAATAAAACTGTGACATAGGTTAATATCAGATGAATTTCATTATTGTCACTGCAACTGACTAGGACTAGGTAAGCAACCACATCAAGATAGATAGTACACATTGAATACAGAGACGATTAAAAGGCGGATTGCACATAAAAACGTAGGAATATTTAATATTATGAATTACATTAAAAAACGGAACAACAGATAGCTCTTGGTTTCGACATAGTTGTTCTAAGATACTCTGAATCAACCAAATCATTCATTAATTGACTAAGGGGTCGTGTTCATAGAATACGTAGCGTAATGTACTACCATAGAACTTAAACAAAATTTGGAATGACATTTTAAGAAAAAGCAAGACGGACATCGGTATACTTAAAGGGCAACACAACAAAGTTCAAGGAATATAATTTTCGGGGTAGATACTATTTTTGTAATACTGTGTGCCAATAAGTATAGATCAGATTCAAATCCCCAACATTCTTTTTTGCGTTGACACATACAGGTATTAAAAAAAATAAATAGGGCGCAATAAAAAATAGTAGTAAGAGTTACAGAAAAAATGCTGTTAAATATTAATTTATAGATGATACTCCAAGATTTTAATATAAACAAAAAAATTTCATGAGACTATGGATTAGACTAAATTCGTTATACAAAATTTCTAAACAGTGCCACCTGGCGTAGACAATTATATTCCTAGTTTCAGCTTACGGATGTGTTTTTCACCCCCCGTAATATGTTTGATATGATTTCTGTCCATTTAAATAAATAAAAATAAAAATAAATTCAGACTTCACTTAAATATCGTTCGTTTTTCAAAATTTCTATCGGGATTAGACATTGTTTTTCTTCTTGATTCATAATTTGATTTGATGATTGATTGAGCGCATTTCCTTTTTTTGCATATGTTAGATTTGACTCTAAAATCTGAATGTGTAGGTACGTTTTTTAGAAGAACATTCAAAGTTTGTTTATAACATCAATGAATTTTAATGAAAATTCAGTTGTGGCCCGCGTCTCGTTGCGCCACTGCCTATTGAATAACATTGTTTTGAATTACTGGGAAGTGCATTCTTTCGCTTTTAGGAGGCTTATGCCGCCCAAGCAGTTATTTATATCGATTATTTTATTCTTGTACTAGATCCGAGAAATGTTTATCTCAGATAAATCGATCTTTAGAGCAATTTTCGCCTTGGCAGCAGAAAAAAATGTATTGCTTACCGAGCAAGTCTATGCTATCTGAATGGACCTAAGTTAACACGGCACCCCAGCCAGAGTTATTATGATCATTTAAGACTTCATTCAACTTGTACAAATGTACAGTAGAATTTATTGTTAAAGATTTTTAAATAGTTTTGCAATGCGAAAGATTAAATTTTGAGTGAATAGGGAAGTAACAATTGGACAATGGGGTTGGTATTTTCAATATTTATAATAATACCTTATAGAATTAGATACTAATATATTTTGGCAATTTGGTAGCAAGAGTTTTTTTGCGACATGACGTTTTAAGATTGCCTCCCACCTGGAGAAAATGATTTCAGGAGGCTAGTGAGGAAAATGTACGGGATATTTGGAAATTTCAAATATTGATTAAATAAACCATTCAAAAAACCTGAGAGCTAAACTAATTAAATTGCTAATGACAATGTACATGTATATCAACGTCGCATTCATTAACACCCTGTATGTTGCTTCCGACTCTTCATGTATAACGTGGTACCGTATCTTATGGCCACCGGCGTGTTTTCTAAACGAATGTCGTATGAAATGTTTGCACATCCCACCAATAAGTCGGCGCCACATTACGTGCCCATTGGGTTACCCACATTTAACGGCACTCTCGAATTACCATACTAAAAAAGCGCGGGTCTTGCTTTTGCGGCACCTGCGGCTAATGGGCTTGCATTATAATGTACCACCGGCAATTAATACACTCGGTATGAATGTAATTGATTTCACGTTCTTTGGGAGCCGACCAGTGCCGATTCTATTGTCAAGTTACACTGTTTTAATTTGCTTCGGGTTGATTAATGACCAATATTTGAATTGAATTCGCAGCGGACATTCTGTGACCTGGAACTGTGGGGATCGTCCATCCCAACACTCAGTAGTTGTCCATCTCGCCAAATAGTGTAGAATCTGAAGAGGTAGGAAATAATCTTGTCCTCTACCACACCAATAGCGGTAGAAGGCGACAAGGTTGTTTCATATTACATTTGGTTAGTTTTGAAACTCGATACTAAGCAACGGGTTTGACTTGGACAAAACCATTACCTATTGATGCGGTGCTTATTAATTACAGATTAAAAAATGCTATATATCATATTATCTCGTATTTAATTAAAATGTTCTACTATATCACTAGACACTAGCTAGGCTGTGTAAGTTTGTTCTGTTATGTTGGAGGGAATTTACTTTGAATAAACGTTTTTCTCAAGCATTTGTGAATTTTGAGAAAGATTTCTACAGATCTTCTGGATTCCTTCTGCGTCGGATGTTGATGAGTCGAACTTGCTGGCGCTGTTGGCTTCTGCAGAGCTTAACTAAAACTGGCTCGCATTGTACTCTGCACCTGTTTATATACTGTTCGCAATTTATACTCTATACACACTAACTTACCGTCGAATTAGAGACTAATAAGAATCTTTCTAAAATGTCTTTGGAGACAATAGTAGTACCTCACATAATATTACTCGCGAAGACGGGACGGATATCTCTAAGGTAGAACTCATACATGCTCTATCAAATGTAAAAAATGGAAAGGCACCAGGACCAGACAAAATTCAAATAGAGGTTTTAAAAACGTTGGAGGAAGCTAGCGGTTTCACGCTGTTGTTAAGTTTGCCAAATTGCATATACAAAACCTGAATAATTCCTAAAGATCGGCTCAGGTCAACTTTCGTTGCTCTGCCAATTGCTGGAACTGCTAACTGCAGGTATTGCAAAGATTATAGAACGATCGGTATTGAAGTTGTTCTTGAAAATCATTCACTCCAGAATATACATAAAACGCGAAGAAAACATTGGTATGTCTCAGTTTGGTTTTAAAAGTGGTTTCGGTACTAGAGAGGCGCTGTTTAGCATCCAGTTGCTTGCTTCGTAGATTACAAAAAGACATTTGTCACTGTTAAGCATGAGCATGATAAATTAATAGTTGTAGTCAACAATATAGGCCTAGACGGCGGGACATTCGAATAATAGCCAGCTTAGAGCGGAACTAGACAGCTGACATAAGAGTTAACAGCCTTACATCTGAAGAAGTGAGGGGTTCAACTGCGTGCTTTCCCCCTTTTGTTTAATTTATATGCAGAAAACATCTTCAGGGAAGCCATCGAAGAAAGAATAGAGGGTGTAATTGCTAATGGAATCGTCATCAACAATTTAAGATACGCTGACGACATGGTCTTACTAGCAACAGCAACAAATGAGTTTACGCTTAAATATAAATAAAACCAAATGGATAGGCATCAGCAAATATAAAAACAACTAATAACTTAACAGATATCAGCGTAAATGGAGAAATAGTGGAGAGACTACAACCATACAAGTATTTAGGGTGCTAGGTTAATGAAAACTGGGACTCAACTTAAGAAATTAAAAATAGGGTAGAACAAGTAAGCTGGAGTATTTTGCGCAACGTAATGAGAAATAAAAAATATAAATTGCTCCATATAATCATGCAAGGAGAAATAGAGGGAAAACGTTGTCCTGCTCGCCGAAGAACGTTTTGGCTCAAAAATCTTTGTGAGTGGTATGGAGTAAGCACCAACTAGATCTGCTGCGGATAAAGTGAAGATCACGCGACTGATCGCCAATATTCTGGGAGGATACGGCAATTGAAGAAAAAGACTTTAGACATTCTCATTAATAGAAAATCAGACCTGATATTGAACCATGTTTACGGAAAAGTTACTTACATAGACCGATATCTCAATGCATTGTTTACAGTAAAACTATCTCAATCCAAGTCGCTGAACCCAAAATGAAATCGATTTCCATCTGCTCTTCTCTTTAATAATTTCAACATTCGAGATATTATGCGTTCTATCACAAAATACACTTCACCACAGCGTTCCAAAGGCAATGAGTCCGAAAACAACCCCATACTTGCCTCTGTTCCACTGTTACACTTCCTTACATTCAAAACATCAATGACCACACATCAAAAGTTCTTAAGAAATGTAACTTTTCTACAAATCTTTCAATATCTTTGGTCTGCCAAAGACAACATTCACACGAGACGAAAAATATTAACTAGGGTAAAGGAACATGAAAGAGCCGTAAGCGGACAAATTTTATACGATAAAACTAAAACTTTTTGTACACAATTGTTCCACTAAAGAAAAATCCGAGAATCCATAGAACCCTATAAGCAACCAAACAAGCTTAACCGCGACTCAGGTTGTTACATCAAACAGTATATAAAGAGGTACAGAGTAGAATGCGAGTCAGTTTCAGTTAAGCTTTGAAGAAGGAAACAGAACCTGACGCAGGAGATCTAGATGTAAATAGTAGTACAGTAGCCCGTGCAAGGTTCTTTGAAAAATTGACTTGCGGATATAATGTGCTTATCTGCATAAAGAAGTAATTGTTGCTAGCAATTTGATGATATTGGAGGTAAAAAAAGTCCATTTTATGCGGTGGTAGAATTAGTAGCATTCATTGACGTCAGCGCGACGGCTGCAGTAGCTTTTCTAGCTGCTATCGCGGCATTTCTCATCAGCGTCAGACGGAACTGCATCAGCATCACTAGGTAAGTGGCTGCCGACGTCACTGTCTGAAAGAGAAAAATTCACTCATTTTCCCGGCTGACCACCGGTCATCGAACCATGCCAGACTCATACATTTTGCACCGGCGTTAAAATTGCAGCCGATCACTAACCTATCCCTATAATTGACAGACATTAATGGAACAACGATTTTAATTAGGGTCGGCGCGCTACAGGGTGTCCTATATTTCGCTTTTCTCGTGTTATCTCTTTATGTCGTTAAGATTTCTAAATTCGTTTTTTTTTATAATTTAAAAAAAGTTAATATCGTTGTAAGTGTGAGAAATGCAATATGTAGACGATTTTTAAAGAGACTAAAAATTTGTATTTTGGTGATTTTGCACTTTGTCTCGATATATAAAAATCTTGTTGTTCACAAATTTTTTAAAATAGTTTGGACCTATCTCTACTTTTATATGCAAGTGCCAGTCAGTTTTGGTATTCCAAATGTCAAGTGATATATAAATTTAAATTTCAATAAACGTAGTAAAGTAGTATATGGCCAAAATATGTTAAGATTTTATTTCTTGTTACGAGGTGTAAAACAGATTATCTCGTACATCGTATAGTAGAGCGTAGTATACTAGTATTGGGTTTTGACCGTTTGGGAAATGTAGTGCTGGAAAATACCATATTAGACAATTAAAATTTCTGTTGCTAGTTGTTTCACATTCATGCCATAACAACGAATTGCACCAGGTTAGCCAACTTAAAATAAAATAAGCATTTATTTAATTTTTTTACATAAAAAATAATCGCGAAAAAAGAAAAACTCCCAAAAATTAACTCAGTAATAGGATATATAGGTGGTCAAAGAAATAGAAGCATTTCAAGTTTGTGGCGACGAAAAATTTACTATCGCATTTAAATCAATAATAAATATAACCTAAAATCACCATTATTAAAATATTTAAGAAATAAATAATTAAAAGCTATAAAAAAAATCGGGCCTTAAAAAATAGAACCTTTTAAAAACATACACCAATGGTTTTATGAACTTCGTTGCATCTTCTGGGCAAAGAGTTTATAAGCCTTAGGAAAATTCTGTTGATATTTTCATTCTGCTTTCGTTATTTCCCAAGGTTATTGCTTATTTTTTGTTTGATGCTTACGAACTGCATTTTGCAAGTCCAAAGATTCTCAATTAGATTGAGGTGTGGTGATTGGCAAGGCCACGAAAGTGGTAATTTACGTCATTATCACAAAATAACAATTTCGCTTTTCTAGAAATATGTTTTGGACTCTTAACCTGTTAATATTTCCATTTTAAGGGCTTATGATCCTCTGCAAATGGTAAAGTGACATTCTGAACAATGTTAACATACTCATTTTCATCCAAAATCTCCTTTATCCAGTAAATTGGTTACACACCATAAATTAACTCGTCTTATTTCTAATTATTTTTATGGCGTAATAATTGTTCAAAAATATGTACTTCTACTTAGATCCACATATTTAGTCTTCTTCTTATGTTCCTATTTTCCATGTCTTCTGGGGTTGTAGGGGGATTCGCACAAACTCGATCTTTAACACAGCCCCACAAAAATAAACCCAGTGGTGTTAAGTCACATGATCGATCCACCTCAACAGATCTTTTTCTGTCGGTAATGATTATTGAAAAATTCTCGAACTTCTCCACGGTAATTCGGCGGGGCTCCATCTTGCCGAAACCATATTTGCTGTTATCAAATTCTAGGCCCCTTAAGTGGTTCGAAAAAAAAAAGATCCAATAAGTTCAAAGTCCACACCACTCATTAAGTGACCAATGGTTCTGATTTTGCACTTCTCGTACCCAGAATCGATTCACTGTTGAAAAATAGTGGATGTTATGCGCCATCACTGCGAAAAGTAACTTCGTCAGAAAACATTATTTTAGACAAAAAATTGGCAGAAGTTTACCTTTTGTTCACAAACAGAAGTTGATGAATTAAGTTCAAGAGAACTGTTTTGAACAAAACTAGCTGATATTTTTTTCACTTTTTTTCCTTATTTCTATTTTAATGTTCCCATTATGGCGCAAGCGAATATACTCAGGCCATCTATTTAGTGGATATCTTCGTATGTCGTGTGCAGTAAATCCGAAAGCTATCCATTCAGAAGGATATCCCTGGGATGTATTTTACAGTATGTAATTAGTATATGTGCTAACGGATATCCTAAGAATATCCTCCACGTGTCCCGACACATGGGGCAGTTTGGGGCAGAAACAGGTATATGGTATACTTAATACAGGTTGTAGGCTTATATAAGATCTTTAAGATTTAAGAAAATGGAGAATTTTCAATCTAAAATGATCATATTCGAATAACGCAAATATCCCATATCCTTCAAAAATAATGGCGCTATCGTAATGTTTTGCAAGGGTGAGAACTAGGATTTTTTTAGAAAAATTAAAATATTGAAAAAACAATTAGGTTTAGCCATATTTTAGGCATTAGTAAAAAAATTGCAGAACACCGTGTTCACTTTCAAATAATTTTAAATTGCGAATACTAGCAATCTTTACCACTTTTGAATTTACCATTTTCTCATAAATTTTGAAACCAATGAGGTAATGATCTTTACTCCATCGTGGGCTCACCCTGTATTTTATACTGTTTCTGTTTTATTCTTAATATTGGCTATTTACTATTATTGTTATTATTGTTGAAGTTTATGTACGTATTTTCTAAAAAAATATATTTTTAGCTTGTTTATATTCAAAAAAAGTTACATTTTATTTTGCGCGAATTCCGCGACTCTGCAATAAAACATGACATTTGAAATTCTCAAGTAAAAAAAAAATATCGTCCAAAAGTGCACACACCCTGTACTTCAACAACCTAGGTGGCCGTGCGTGCTACCGTGTTATGACGAAGCGTCCACGGCCTGCTGATTCCGCACGGCGCGGGTTAAAAAATGTCTCGTCGCTTCCTGACTGCATTAAATGCCCGCTTTCGTTTTCTTCGTTTCCCATTCTCTTCGGGATTCATGCGTCGACACGTTTTCCGACGTTATCCTCGCAAACGCGGACGGAACTGTCGACGGAAAGTATGCAAATTGCGGCTTTCGCCTTTTAAAGGGCGTATCTTTAAAAGTACCGGCGAACAGCGTATAACACGGTAGTTGATGCGCGTTGAGTGATACAATGTCGGTTCTGGGTTTGTCGTGTTGCCACGTAATTTACATCGAATTCTTCCTTATCCTTTCATCGTGCGCTTTGACTACTTACGAGTCGATTTTAACAAACCATAACTTTACTCTTTTGAATTTTGTGTACTGGTGCTAATATTTTTTACACCTGTGGTTTATGTAATTAACTATAGGAATAATTCAACAGCAAATTTGGGGAGAGATACAAAAAAATCAAACGCAATATAGTCGTTATCCTTAATTCCGTAGCTGAAATATTTTTTTTAGGATCCTCCGGCAATTTTATCCAGGAAAAAGTCAAAAATAATGTTTTTTTATCATGTTTTATTCAATACAGGATGTTTGAAATATCGTTTGCGCCGCGGTTAAGTCTGTATATGTTGTAAAATCTTTGGTTTGATTTTGATAACTTTTTTTTTGTTGGATAGACATTTCAAAAACGCATTAGAACGTTATGTATTGGGACTAATTTTTGATGTCAAATATCGAGAAGGGCTTTGAGATTTCTTTATACAGTTTTTTGGAGAGGAAAGAAAGTAGTATTAGATATTTTTTCAAATTGAAAATGACAACAGGTTCGTATTCAGGACTACCTAAAAGTAACTAGACAAATGACAAAAGTTTTTAATGGTTTAAAAAATAAATGTCGTAAACCTTGTAAATAACGATTTTAAGGTCTTACGAATTTTAATTATACAAATTTCAAAAATAATGGTAAAAAAGACTTTTTAAGGGATATTTACTTTTTACCATCATCTTAAAACAACAGCATTAATATATCTTAGTATTCGAAAGGTATAATGTAAACAAAATGAAAATATAAATTAACGAGTGAATTTAACAGTCGAATATTCGCTTCTCTATTATTCTTAAGGAAATCGTTACTAGCGCTTCTCGATATTTGAGATAAAAATTAGTCCCAGTTAGCCATGACTTCAGGTTGATGTAATAAGAAACATAAGGTTTTAGTAACATTTTAAACGCCCTGTATTGAAACATTTTAAAAATTGGTATATTTTTGGTTAGTTGGGTTCTAACTCCTCCTTCGAAGAAAATTATTTCTTTTTTTTTAAATCCTCAATAGCACTTCTCTCTTCTCCCTCCTTTGTTAAACAGTCTCAGTAAAGCAAAACAAGGTTTTGGTGCATTTTTCAAACAAAGATTTTGACAACGGCGTACAGTTCTTAAGTGGAACATACTGTATATAAAAATTTGAGTTTCTATGGAAAACTGAGTACGTAATTCGATAGCACAAAAACCTCTTAAAGTACTTACTTTGCGAGTTACAAATAGTGTCTAAATACGTAAAAATCCAAGATAGCTTTTTCTGTTTTTGTTAGCTTTCATAAAAAAGTAGCCTTGTGTCACAAAATCCACAACAATCCAGGATTTATTAATAGGGAGGTACGCCGTGAAACAGTAAAAAATGTGGATTTCCAAATTTTATTCAGTTGTTTTCTCAAAGTAATAGAAGAGGAAAATTGAAGAAGAAGAAGGAAAACAAAAAAATACCCACGGAAATACCTAATGGAATTCCAGAGAAATTCCAAGGAATTATAACTTTAAAACGAGTTACGGTACACATGGATTTAAACAACAACATGCATAAAAAAATTGACATATTCTTTGCGTGCGGGCTACAAAATACTTACCGAACTAATTAGTTTCCTATTAATATTCGCATATCCGTTCAGGTTCATGATCGGAGGATTTTTTTCAATGGCCGTCAAAAACATGTGAATCTCCTGCACAGTTTTGGAGTCTATAGCAGACAGATTTACTCGCAGAAGACGTTCTCTGAAATACTCCGTGTATTAGTTTGAATTTTTGTATCCAATTTAATTTTAATATTTGTCTTTTTTTAGATACTACAAAATATTTCGGATTCAAGCTGTTAAAAAAAAAATCGAAAAATCGCCCTAATAAATATTTATTTGGAACTTTTTTATTTCATTTGAATCAAATTTGTTTCAACAAACTAATTCTTGCTTCTATTAAACAAAATGTATGTGTTTGAATGTTTGCAATCATTTGTGTGATTTTTTCATATTTTTGTTTATGGCAAATAATTATTTATTTACGTTCATTACACAAAACAGTTGCTTCTTTTATTTAAATTCATTTATTAAAAGCAAATAGAAGGAGTTAAATGCAAATGAAATATCGTAAATGCTGTTATCATATATCGAGGAAGGATACCCCATTAACTTAACTACTTTAAGCCAACCCGGAATTCTACCTTTTGTTAGCGGCGTGGTTATTGCCAGTGTCCTAAGTTTTTTTGATAACAATTATTAAAAAAATGAAAATGTTTTTAAAGAAATATGTAGTCATTTAAATGTATTATGAATTAGTAGTCTCGTAAGTCTTCTAAAAAGTACGCCTTAAATGTGAGTTTTTGAGCAAAATAATACGTCTTCCACGGCGTCTAAATCTAAATCGAAGCTCGTCAGCTCTACCTACTTGATCGCTCTACTGAGATAAATCAATAGTATTTCATTGAAATGGTTGCTTATTTATTTAAATCTGTTAGGTATTAAAAATAATGCTAAGTTTTATTATTTCGAGCTTAGAAATAAATAAAATTAAATAAATAAAAATAATTAATATAAAATTGATCAAATTTAAGTGTAAAGCACGGAAACTTTTATTTAAGAGCAGAATTATAATAACCTATAAAAACAAGTTTATTTTAGAGTAACGGAGTAATATTATTATCAAAACAATTGATGAGAGAATTCGCCTTAAACAAGGTGTCGATAGCTGTCGCTGAGTAACTATTATAATAATTATTATTTATTTCCAAAATAAATTACATTTGCATTTAGTAGCATTTCACTTGTGGCATCATATAGTGTTATAGTTTTATAGTTGAAAACATCATTTTGAATTTTAGAGGCATCCTAGCATGGATGAGCACCTGACCAAAAGAAAATGTCCTTCAAAATCTACCTATATACTAATATTCTATTGTTTTGAGAAATTTTGGTAATGTTTCAGCTTATTAATAAATACATAAATATAATAATGAGCATTTCCTAGTATTTCATTAAATGAATACATTCCTTATTCCATAAGATATTACAAATTAATCTAGTGTACTTTGTTTTAAATGGAAACTATAAGATACTGAAGCTTTTAAGTAAAAACCAACCACCTCATTTATTTATCTTATAAAACAAAAAAAATTCGGTCCAAATAAGAAAAATCGACATTAAACTAAATGTGTGTCATTCAATTAATCAGTATAGTATCACTATAGCATTTATCAGAAATATTTGATCTAGTTTATACATTATTGTATTGAATCAAACAAATTGTATTTTCTTAAGAAACAAACAATTCGTTAAAATCAATGAACATATATTGCAATTCAATAATACTTGAGAGATTTCAAAAAACATATTTATTTCAATCAAATAAGCATTTATTGACTGACCATCCATCAAAGAGGTGGTAAATATTTGTCTGAATTAATATTTAATTTATACAAACAAATGCAGTATAAATAATTTAAATTCATTTTTACAAAATTCCAAATAAATTTTTGTTTAGCCATGATCAAACAAATATATTTTTAAAGACAATTCCAATTTTTTTAGACCAAATATTTTTTCCCCATTTCTTTCCACTTCCACTTCTTTTCCTATCAGTATGAAAAAAAAGGTTTTCTCAATATCTCTAATTCACTAATTATATCAATTAAAACATTAAAATATTGTTTCTTTCCTCTATCAGCATAAAAGAAGTAAATCATATCGCATCAGGGTATGCTCCATTAAATTATATAATGCAAATTACGGAATACTGTGTACATTATTCTCTTGTTTGTCCGTCGCGTTCAATAAATCGACTTGGTTCGTACAATTTCGACCGTCAATAATATCCATCGGCGCAAATTATTACCTGAATTCGAGGCCCATCTTTTTGGACGCCGAATGAGCCTCGTTGCAGATGATGAATAGCAACGTGATGCAGTAAAACGCGATGAGGAACAGACCGCCCTCCTTAAACGAGAGACCGTGATCGAGAACCTCGGTCACCGTCCCATACGTTGCCACGATGGTCGTGAGTAGTACCAACAAACAGTACAGCGCGTACATGCCACTGTAAGCTTTGCCTAAAATTCAAAATATTCTTAAGGTATCGAAGGAATCAGGAGATATTGAAAAATTGGGCAAAAATTACCTTTTGAATGTTCAGACGATGGTGGTAGAAATAAGTAGAATTTAGTGCAACATGTAGCTTTTGTGCTTATATGAAAATACTTAACTTAAAAAGGTGTAACTTTTTTTTATCAGAAATTTATTTTCTATATTTTCTATTTTCTACCCCGGTAACCCCGACCATCAGGTTCAACCTCGTCTTAATAACACCGGAACTTATCCAGAATAAAGTCAAACAATTAAACATACCCAATTCCTGGCGGAATAGATGCGGAACCACTTAATCAAGGATCACTTAAACTACAGCACACAGTAGCAAAACTATTTATAATGTGCTTAAGTAGTCGGGGGTACCAAATTAATGGACTGAATGGACTGTCAGCACATTCAGTCTGTTTTATGGTGTTATAAGAGACCTAATTGAAGAAGAGTAGGTTTGTAAGCGTAAGATCCTGGACAGATAATACCTTCTGTATTAAACAAATAATTGAGAGGGAATTCGTCCATGGAAAGAAGGGTCATCTACTTTTGGTAAATCTGTCTAAGATCTTCTACACAATACCTGTCGGAAAATTATGGAAGGCCCTAAAACACATATACTCTTATAAGAGCGGTTCAAGAGCTATATAACAACTGTACAGCATCGGAGGAGCCAAAAGAATCAGAGTCGATAAATGACTACGACAAACCTATTCAATCTCACCTACATTGCTTAAAATATACACACAGCGTGCGCTAAAAACCTGAAAAAAATAAATGTAGGTCAATAGTGTATCACATCGATAATCCAACTCTGTTCACCTTACATTTCGCTGATGATCAAGTAGTGATAAGACAAAGTAAAGAAGACATTGAGTAATAACCAAATGTTGGCTTAAGATGAACATTGATAAAAACCAAATACATGAGCGTCAGAGCAAAATTTGGAGATTTGGAACTTAACGACAATATAACTATCAAGAAAATGGATGTATGTAAATAACTGTGAGTGTCATGTACAGACGAAGAAAAGGACAGCACAGACATTCAGAATAACAGAGTTGCACAAAATCGAAAAATCATCAAAGAAAAGTTTGAATATCCCTCAACTGTGTCTCTTTAACTCTTTCCGTTTCTCAAAGAAATTTCCACAGGCTACTGTAATGCTTTTTACAAAACTTCTGGATTCCTTCTGCGTTGGTTTTTGCTTAGTCGAAATTGCTGACGTTTCGTCAATCAACCTGTTGGCTTCTTCAGAGTTTGACTGAAACTGGCTCGTATTTTACTCCGCAGCTGCGTATATATTATTTAAGGGGGGGGGGGGCTAATGAGGGGTATAACCATCTCGGATGTGTTTATACCCCTGATTAACGCCCCCCCCCCCCTAATAAAAGAATAAGCAGGTACAGAGTAAAATACGAGCCAGTTTCAGTCAAGCTCTGCAGAAGCCAACAGGATGAATGGCGAAACGTCAGCAATTTCGACTAACCAAAAACCGACGCAGAAGGAATCCAGAAGTTTTGTAAAAAGCTCTTTCCGTTTCCTTCACCGAACTAATAATGTCCTAAATCTCTTACCCAGTTGTTGCATCATATGGGATAGATCAACCCAGAGATCTCTATATTCAGCCAGCCTGTTGGCCGAATCTCTAGATTGCAAAGCATTGTGGAGGTTCTCGGCTAGCCACCCAGCCGCCCTCCCTTTGGCAGTGCAGTTTATAAACCACAACGAGCACAGGCAGTTAAGCATGGCCAGTATGTGATAGTAGCCAAAGGTGTGCCACAACAGCATGTCCGGTTGGAGGTAGTATTGCGCCAGCATCACTATTACCGCTACTACCCAGGAGAAGATGCACAAAGAATAAGTGATCAGGGTGAGGTTTTTAAATACCACTCGCGTTCCAGTGACACGGTAATATTTGAGCTGAAATTAAAGAGTTGCCTCTCTCTACCTGTTATTACATTCATAGAGCAGTGGTTCAAAGGTGAGAAATTAAACAAATATCATGAGCAATACCTGAAAGCGTGTCCACATGTTCTTGAACTTGGCTACTTCGTGTCCATTGGTCCAAGCACCTACCGGCAACAGGAAATGAGGAATCAAGATACTCAGAAATATTACCCCGTAAATATATTCGTCGAACCTTTTACCAGGTTGAAGAATGAGGATCAAACGTTCTTTGAAAACGATACTAACGAAAATCGTTTCGATCGAGTATATGCAATACGCCCAGATAGTCGTCGGCGAACGCCACCTATAAACGCGTTCGTTAATTAATACTAAAATTAACACGAAAAACGAACCTAAAAATGGTGTTGCCCTTCAGTCGTTCGATAGGCATCACCCCCATGATCTGAAACAGGACCAGCAGGCTCTTGGTAGTTTGATAAAAGTTGTCGTGCTCCTCTAAGAGATTCGGATCATCCGGTTCTATATCTCGATGGGTGGTAGCCGTCGCCACTTCTCTTACTTCGCTCTTTCTTATATTTCCCGACATCTTTTTGACATGAGGCTGTCTCAGCCCTTCGAAACGCAGGGGGGTTACCACCCCCGCCATATTCATTGCGAGAATGCAGTGGTGGGTCTATCTAGTTCTACCTTCGGGTATTCTGATTCTGCAAAAAATCAAATCGCAGATTCATCAGATTCAACTATTATTGAGGAAGATCTGGGAATATTATTACTGCATAAGCTATGACGTAGAGGAAATTCTTTTGTGAACTCGACATTTTTTACGTTAACAATTATAAGGGTAAACCATAACGGTACCATTATGAGCAACATGTTCTAGGAGTGGTATTTAATAATAATTCCAATCGATGAAAGCGCACCTACCTATATAGATAGCCCATCAAAATTAATAATTACTGATACTTTGAAGTATCAATTCTTAATTATTATTATTAATAAGTTGATCCCACAAACACCCGACATCGTTAGATTGATATCGTACCAACTTCAGACGCGACTCGTTTCTACATTTGTTCCGAACCTATATCGTGCCGTTTATGGTCTTCGATGTCCAGTCGAGATCAATTATGCATTGACAGATCTTTAGTCCGAGCACATAAGTCACTCCCGTATGAGTCAGGCAACCGGAAGCAGGAAAATATGCAAATTGCGTGGAGTTTACCTTCTTCCGAATTAGTAAAATTTATAAACGTCACTTTTTTTGGTTTTGCATTTCACACATATGATATGTCGTATTAGTCGTGAACGTTGATAGACTAGAATTAGATAGTATGGGAATGTTGGGAAGCAATTCGCAAATATGTCGAAAACTCAGTGCTAGTTAGTGCTAGACAACTTCTTGACTTCTTGGGTACTCCCTCGGTGGACACACTGTACAGGATGATTCAACTATAGAATAAATATTATTATCTCATTGGTGTCAGAAGTTGCGAGGGAATGGTAAATAAAAAACCTGCAAACATTGTTTAAATTATACGGAGCGTCCCAAAAAAGCGTGACGAATAAAGCATTCATTTTTTAAATGAAAAACCCTCTTCTTAAATTTTGTTTTGAATTTCTTTTAAACTTCTTGAAATTCTTTATTAATAATAATTAATAAAACCTAATAGTTTTTGCAATATCTGGCGATTATCTGGAACTTGAAGAAAATATTTCAATTATTACGTTCCGTTTTTAATATTCAACACTACCACTAGCATGAAATCGTTCCATTAAATACTCTCTAGTTAGTATACGTCTATTAGGGTACTTCGCATTGTACCGCCAACAAAATATATTTCCTCCTCACCCAGTATATAGATCATATCAATTAATTCCGCTTTAGGAAAATCCATACTTTTTTTTTATTTACTGACACCACAATAAATTATATGAATTTGTTGACTCAATTTTGGTAAAAATTTCACATTGTCATTTTGTCATGGCCAACCAATTTTATAGCAATAGTGAAATAAGGGTAAATATTAGAAAAGCTAAAATTAATCGCAAAGTATTAAAAATAGGTATATAACATAGTTAATATAAGTTGTAGGATTTTGTAAGATCTTTGAGAAACAATAATAATATATATATATGGTGTGCCATTTAAGAAAACGTAGATTTTTCTATTTAAAATGATCGAACTATATTTCTACACCCTGTAGTATTTAAATCAAATTCCTTTCCATATTCCATTATACGCCATCTTTCAATATCAAATATGTGGGGTGGGTGATCTAAAAATGGGGTATTTTAGAAAAATTAAAATGTTTTATTATTATTATTAAAAAAGTTAAAGAATTCCAAAACGGATGAAAAAAGGGTGTTTTATTCAAAAAAATGTATGTTTTATTCACCTTTTTTTGAGTCACCCTGTATATTTTTAAATGGTTTTGAATCGTGTATCGCAACCATCTTTACAACTTTTTGTATTTATCAGTTTTGCAACCAATGAGACAATGAACTTTGCTTTGCTCTTTCAGTCACCCTGTATATGGCGAGAGCACAGCTTAGAAATTGTTTTCCACCAATGAAAATTTTTAAATATTAATTAATATTGGCAGAGGGAAATAATGGGATTTTTTTAATCTATCGATTTTTTTGGGGGATTACTTTTGAATGACATTCGTAGGCGTATTACATTTTCCGTAAATTCGAAGTGAAAAAATCGGATTAATTATTTCAAAACTCATAATGGCCCCGGTAATCAATCATGTTTACGGTATTAGGCAATGACGGTTCAATGCGTCCTTGAAATCGACTTGACATATAGGTGAATAACTTGTTAATAAGATACCGGCCAGGTCTAGTTTTACGGGTCAATTTTCGGTAAGCTTCCATCTTCATTCCAATAATGAAAACGCCCCCTTCAAAACGACGTTAATGACTTGATTCCGGAGGAAAATTTTCTTTTATGTAAATCGAGAGCCAATTTAAAAGGCCCATATGGTAGAAGATATCTCCGAATCGGGCAATTTATTTTCTATGGATGTTTACTGCCTTGTTGGAACACTTTTTTTATCATTTACAGGGCTACGACTGTCATCGCATTCATCAACGTGTGTGTGGCCCAGCGAACAGAGGACCGCAATCAGAAAATCAAACGGAAATACCCACTTAAGGTGAGTTTATGGTCATAAACCAGTAACGAAATGTCCAAAAGAAGTTTGTTTTTGTATTTGGAGCTTGTCCGTAACTTGCCGTTCTGTATTTCGGCACGTGATCTTAGCAGTCGATCTCAGCTAACCCCATATAGTGTTCAATCATTCCGGTCTGTGTATAAGCATTTGTATATATAGTCTACTACTCGAGGTGATTTGCATAGAAACTGCCTAGTCTGATATCAGACTAGATAATAGATTTGAGGACGATGGTAGGACTGGAATGGTATTCTGTAGCGATTTAAAATTGTTACTACCATAACATTTTTTTAAAAAATTGATCGTAAATTCTTTTCGAAAAAAAAAATCTCCGCTTTCATTTCTCGCATCCAGGTTTTTTAGTTTTTATTTTTGGTTAGTTTTAGTTATAAATTTTTGCTGTGGTATAAAGCTTGTTCAATATTGCCTGTTATTGTTTATGACTTTGGTAGACCAAAATACATGTTTATAAAAGCACAATTAAAAACAAAATTGATTGTAATTGCATTTTTTTTTCTTTTTCTACTTCCGTCTGTAAAATGCCCTAATTACACACCGATCTAGCGTGCGGGAAGCGTCACTTTTCCACGTCAGTTTCGTTTCCCACGGATCCGACCCACTTCGGACATTTTCGGTGGAGGTATGGGAGCAATCGGATGTTTTCGTAGATATTTCCCACGCCTTGAATTTTGACGTTTGCCAATTTTGACCGTCATGCGAAAATGTACCCAAAAACTAACGGTCGTAGAAAAAGTATAGTATGCAACACGTTCGATAAACTTTTAAAGTCACTCGTTGCATTGTATACTATTATGAGGTTGCTTTTAAATTTGACTTAATAATATGCCTCGGGGATTTTAATATAGATTTTGTCAAACCGAATAACATCGTGTCATACTGTTTTGAATCTTACAATTTGAATATAGTATGTTATGCAACAATTGCGGTGGCTTAAAAAGTTTATAATATACTATTGCTGATACTTATTCGCACCACAGAGTGGTTTTGCTGAATTAAACCTAAAAAACCCAAAAAAAACCTATCGCAGAATTAAATCCCTCATGCAGAAACCTCAAAAAGCCCCCAAAAATTTAAACGCACTATCGATTAACGACTGGAATTGGTACAAGAAGCTTCGCAATCATATCATATTTGTTGCAAGATCTGAAAAGCGAGCGTACCTTAACTTTATTTAAACTCCTCTGATCGAAATTTATTACATAACCTGGCCAAATAGAGTTAATTAATTACTTAATTTTGCTTGGAAATATTTCAGTTAAGTGCGTTGACTAAATCGCGGTATATGAAGGTAGTACTTACGATAAAACTAAACAATTTCAGTTCACCTTATGTTCGAATCAATATGTCAAAAGGGTTTTGCGCAGACTGCTTTTTTGCGATAACTTTTTTGTTAATTAACCAATTCACTCAAGCCGTAGTTATATGTCCCAAACTGCAGACGAAGCCCAAAGCTTAGCGAAGATAATGAATGAATGCATCGCTGACACCGCATCAAAAGCCCTATTTAGGTGGTGGAACATTGCACGCGGCGGTTTAACCTCCGTTCGTTCCCTACAGAATCCTTTGTAATCGTCCAAAAATTTTGAAATCGGTCTCCACTGAGTGGATTTAGTGTTTTCAGTGTTTTGTGAACGTTGTAAAGTGATAATCGTCGCCGATCCCTTGGTTTTTCCCCGTTCACGCCGGTATGGAGGCCGGTCAAATTTGTTTTTTGCTAGTTGAGCAAATATTGGTTATATGTCTTCTTTGTACGTGTTGGTCCATGACCAAAAGCGAAGATCCTCGACGGAAGTCGACAATGGGCGAATGATCCTAGCAGTCGAGCCCAACATTTTTTTGTGAAACGCATAATTGAATTGAATTGAAGCCCTATTTATTCGATTGTAATATTGTAAAATACGCTTTCTGTGTAATAAATGTTTTTAAAAACGCTCCCCCGAATTTTGAACATTTAAGTCCGTAGCTCATTTTGTAGATATTTTCGAAGCACGCAACTGTTTTATGTTTTTTTTTTAATTATGGGTTCAACTACATCTAAAACAAAGCTGTTTTTTGTTCATAAAAAATAGTTGCGCGAGTTTAAAAATTAAGTATTGGATGCCAATTCATTCCCACCATTTTCCTCAAACCTAATATCGAGTTTGATACATAAGGTTACTATTAAAAGCGTCTCCAATACTAATTCGCTTTGGGTTAGCTAGAAAGATTTCATATATTTTCGGTAAAGTTTGATCTATTTTTTTTTCTTCTTTTTGAAAATTAGGATTGGTTTGTTTTTATCCTTTTCATTTTGTAATACATTATCATTATTATATCAAAGGTATTGCGAAAATACAAACTTTATTGAGGAGAATCGTAAAACCTAAATAAAATAAATTCTCTAGGTGATTCTGTTTTCGCTACGTTTAAGCAAAATAATCCGAGGTAAACTCATTCCAATTTTCAATCGTTTGTGTATTTATATTTGCAAAGGTGTATTTCGGGTTAAAGTAAACTCTCTCGAGAATAACATCGATATGAGCGCGAAAGGTTGACAAATATTTTAAATTTTAAAGATTTTGAGAAAACTGGTATGAGTTACGCTTTCAATAGTCAACTTGCTGATTTGTACTGGGTTCGTTTGGAAAAAAGGCTATGGACCAATATAGATATCTCCAAAGTATTATTAAGATAAGGGAGTAATAAAATATTAATAATTTTGCTTAAATTTACATTCAGTATTATATAGTGCTAAATAAAAAATATGAAAACCAGATTATTAATTGGAGGATTTGAAATAACACCTTTTTCTACGTACGGTAAGGTACACAAAGGTGCATGAGGACATTTTATTGAAAAATTCACGTAAATATTATCTCTGTAAAAATTTATATACTTGGGCAATGTTCGATTGAACACTGTTGATAATTTGACAATATTGAAAGAGATGTTATATATTTTAAGTTCCTCATTTCGCTTATTTAGATTGTCATCTATAGAAAAATGTGCTCTTCTTAATTCTACAGTAAATCATAATAACTTTAATTAGGATAATTTATTTTGGGGAATATATGATTAATTACGCTTTTAAGAAACGTTGTCTTCACACACTGGAAATCACATTAGGTGAATGTTAACTTTAACTCACTATAAGGTGATGCAATTACACTTTGGATGGGGTACATTTAAACTTTGAGTTTAGTCACTATATCAATAATTTCTTTGACTGTATGGAACAAATGAAACCCGAGTTTCCCTGAAGAAAGAAAATAGAGATGTACAAATGGTTATTGAAACATAACTGACTTTGTATATTATGTATGAATAAAAAGACTAAGCAAATAAAATACAAGTGTATTACATTGAATTAGAAGAGCCTTTTTTTCTCTGGCTCTTTTCTCTCTTTTCTTTTTTAAGCCAAGAGGTACCTTTTTTGCTTCCGTGTGTACCTTTAATTGTCTCAAAATGACAAACAGACCCAGAGAATGTTTGCATATGTAGGTACAGGGTGAGTCAACATTAAATTTTGTTTTGAATTCGTTTTGAAATTTTTCAACTTTTGTATTAATAATAGTGCATACTTAAATCTAATAGTTTTTCCAATATTATAATTTTTCAAAAAAAAACTAGTTTTCACACTTTCATAAAAGTAGATAATGTGAGCGAATATGAGTATCGCTATGCAGCGGAATTTGAATTAGATGCTTCAGAGTGTTTCTATTCTTTCTATCTTTTTAAATTGAAAAATCGCAATATTCTTAAATAACACAACATATATATTTTTATTTTTTCTGAAAGATCTTACAAAAACCTACAACTTTTATTGAGAATGTCACATACCTCCAGGGTCATTCTCATAGACACGATCTTTAACATATCCCCACAAAAAAAATGTAGGGGTGTTAAGTCGCATGATCGAGGGGGCCATCCAATAAATCTACCTCCACCATTTGAATATTCTTGAACTTCCACATTTATTGAATCTCAATGTTCTTCTTCTTAAGGTAAATTTCTCTGCAAAAAATTTAAATAAGCCCATTTACCGGTGCAATAACTTTTAACTGTTTTATTCCACGCCACAAGCGACCATTGGTTTTGGTTTCCCGTACCCAGAATGGATTAACTATTGTATAATAATGCGTGTTCTGATGATTAACTGCACCATAAGTGCGAAAAGTAACTTCATCAGAAAACATTATTTTAGACCTAAAATTTGGATTGGTCACTATTACTTCATTTATAACGGTGCAGAAGTTAACCCTTTGTTCAAAATCACGGTCTAGAAGTCCATGGTGTAGTTTCATATGGGAGGGATGATATTTGTGTTTTTTGGTAGTATGATTAACGGTACATTGACTACATTAGCTAGCTAGTTGGGAGATACTAACTTGGGGATTATCTTGAAGTAAAATTTCCAATTCTTTTTCCTCATTAGTTCCGTATCTCATATTCAATATTGTCACTAGCATCAAACCACTAGCATTAAGCACCGAAGAGATTGTCAGGTTGGTATAAGTTTATTACGGTACTACGCCTTGTAAAGTGTCCCATTTTAAAAAATGAATGTTTTATTCGCCATGCCTTTTTTACCCACCCTGTATTCTAACCAAAACTAGCCAAAACTATTCTTCTTCTTCTTTAAGTGCCGTCTTCGTTGCGAAGGTTGGCAATCATCAGTGCTATTCGTATTCGTGACACAGCCGACCGAAATAGTTGGTTTGTGGTGCACCCGAACCAGTCACGTAAGTTTCTCATCCATGAGTGACGCCTTCTTCCTACACTTCTCTTTCCTTGAATTTTTCCTTGTAATATCAGTTGGAGTAGTTGGTACTTTTCTCCTCTCATGACGTGTCCAAGGTACTGAAGTTTACGCTTTTTTACCGTAATGATAATTTCTTTTTCCTTTTTTATTCTTTTCAGGATTTCCATGTTGGTCACTTTATCGGTCCATTTTACCTTAAGTATTCTACGGTACAACCACA